ATCGGACGTGGTGCCAGAAGTGAAGTCTTGCTAATTTGAGTTCTTGATGTTCTTTTTTTTTTCCAGGGCCGAGCGTGTTCTAAAGTGCGAGTTCATGAACTGCCTGGAGCGAGTGACTTTGTCTAAATATACTTGTAGTGGCAGGTTAAAACGCAGACACACTAGAAAACTGCAGTTCTCCTAAAATGATCACGATGAACATGAAGGACGCTAAAATGGAAGTTTGGCGACCAAAAAAATTACTCTATTTTGATGAAGTTAGCAAGTTAGCTAACTTAGCAGCAGTGTGGGGCATAACATGGTACAAAGTAATGAAGCAGTCCAATGCTATGGGCTGACACCTTAAAGTTTCAGTTCTTGCAATCACATTACAGATAACTGGTCTAATAAGAATTTAATGACCTGCCTTAAACATACAGTATTGTGCAGAAGTTAGAGACCACACCTTTCATTTATTTGATTTCCTGTCAAAATCTGTCTAATATTCCTAATATCCTAATATTAGCAGTACCTAAGCACATTTTATATAGCTCTTCTTGACCAGCAATAAATTAATACATACAATTGGATTGCCATGAAACACTGTCTGCTGAGAGGCTGGATCAGCTGGTATAACTATCTTTAATTTTGTAGTTTAATGTTTATTGTCGGGCAGCACGGTGGCGCTGTGGGTCTCGGAGGCCTGGGTTTGGTTTCCTGGCTGGGCGATCAGGGTCCTTTCTATGTGGAGTTTGCGTGTTCTCCCTGTGTCTGTGTGGGTTTCCTCCCACAGTCCACAGACATGCTGTTAGGCCAATAGGACTCACTAAATTGGTCATCATGTTCAAGTCACTCATTTTTCAGGAGAAATTCAAAGTTGTGTCATCGCTAGCTTGCTTTTAGCTTTTCAACTAGTATTAGCCAAGTTACAAATTGTAAACTAGCATAACTGGTAATGTGTTGTTCATAGAAGATGCAGGGATAGTGACACGCCTTTCAAACATGTTAATTGCGATTATTTCATCTTAACTAAAGTTCTGAAAGGACTGTTCCTTGTCATTCTTTGCATTTTTTTAAATGGTTTAGATTTGTATTTATTTTAGAGAGTAACTTAGAGGTAAAGTAACGAATACCCAAACACACACACATTTTCTAAGCCGCTTATCCTTCTGGGTCACGGGAGGTGCTGCTGGAGCCTATCACAGCGGTCACTGGGCGGAGGGCAGGATACACCCTGGACAGGTTGCCAGTCCATCGCAGGGAAGACACACAGACACATACATCCACACACAGTCATACCTAGGGGCAATTTAGTTGGCCTGTTGGCCTGACAGCATGTCTTTGGACTGTGGGAGGAAACCTGCACAGACATGGGGAGAACACGCAAACTCCACATAGAAGGCCCCCGCAACCCACTGAGCCACCGTGCTGCCCGACAATAAACATTAAAATACAAAATTAAAGATATACCAGCTGATCCAGCCTCTCAGCAGACAGTGTATCATGGCACTCCTATTGTATGTCAAGAAGAATAATATAAAATGTGCCTAAGTACTGCTGATATTAGGAATATTAGGAATATTAGGCACCACTAGTTGATTAATTTTTCATATCAAAGTTCACCAGATTTGAACTTTGTGCACCAACAATTCACTGAAATGAATAATTCCACTCACATAATTACACCATCCAACAGTAACTGATTCCATATCCATCTGTATCCAAAAAAGGAGATTAATTTGGAAATTTTGTTTTGCAAAGAATTACTTTTGGTTGATCTAACTTTAATGCCATCCCATGAACAGTATTACAGAAGAAACTAAATGGTCAATACATCTTGCTGCAGGTAGGCAAAACTATGGTCAGACAAATATCCCTCCACGTCCTGCGCCAGTGACCACTCCTTGAACGTATTTATTTCTTTTTAATTATCATGTTTTGCCCAGGGTAACAGATATCTATACTACATGAGCATTAAAGCCTACATCCAGTATAGTATGGCTCTCAGCATGACTTTGCTTCTCCACACTAAAAGTGAAACTCAGTAGCTTCTTTTTGTTTTGTGCTTTTGTGTTTTTGTTTTTTGTTTTTTTTTTGCACAACTTGCAAGAGAACAAATAAAAAGTCAGTGTCGCAGGAAATCTTGTAACAACCCAGGAGGGCTCTTTGAGCGCTTTGATGAGATCTACAAGTGAATTGTGGGAATTGAAGTGCCCTGCCTGCAGTGCTCAGTGCTCAGATATGTCGAGTAAGCAGCAAGACGTCTGGCCTGAGGTACTGCACTGAGTGTGTGCAAGCGTGTGTGTGAATGAGATGAGGAGTCGGGCTGTTTGTTTGTCTGTGCCGCACGGCTCCTGTGGGCTTGGCGAGGCAGTGCTGATACTGTAGAATAAATGAATAAGTGATGTGGGGTTTAAGCAGGTCCTGCGCACAGAGAGCCACTTCCAGAAAGAGACTCCACGCTCTCTGGTGGGCCTCTGCCACTGCGAAGAGCTAATAAATTCCACCCTTCCGCCTGTGTTATCCTCAATCTCACTTTCTGTCCTTCCCCTTTCCTCCTACACATTCCTGCTTGGTTTTCTTCTATGTGTTTGCTTGAAGTTCTTGTACCAACTGTTGTTTGTTTTGGTCGGCCCAGATTTCGTTCCTCACCCTGTTTTTTCTGTTTGCACCTGTCTGCTGCTGTTCTATTTCCACCTCACGCTGGGTTTAAAAGTATCTTCCCAAGCGAAGTTCAGGCTTGCCTAGTCTCCATCTGAACAGAGATGCGAGCAGTGCGCTAGAGGAATGATATACACGGTTTTACAGCTGAAAATTGACAAAATTTACATTAATTATATTCTCACACACGGTGGTTTCTCACACTGTATGACATACTGTTAGCTCAAAACACTAAGTATAGCTAAAACCATGAGACCTGACTTTTTCTGTACTTTTGTCAGTAGCAGAAGTCAGAGAATACCCTTTTGTTTATTGAATTTCTAGCCAAAATGACCATTAAGTACAATTTACTTAGTTTATTCATACTCAGAAGCCTCCAACACTATGTATAATATCAAATCTATCCATATTTAATGTATCCACGCTTTACTTTTGCGTATCTGACTGCCACTTTAGTTCTTCCATCCTTCAAATCTTCTTAAAACCAGTGAGTTACAGCTGTGTCCACCCAACATAAGCTGTTCCCAAAGCTGGCATTATGTCCCCCCTTCAAAAAGACACTAACATTCACACAAGCAACTACCCAAACACACCTTAACACCTGATGAAGCACCTGTTCTCTGGCTCTCAGATCACACAGAGGAGCCAGCTTGGCTAAAAGCTGCCATGCCATGCTGTGCTAAGTGTTAGCATAAAATGAGCAGTGCTTCTCTGCACTTCCTCTACTGAAGAGCAGCTTTGCGCATGCTGCTGCTAATTTGTTCTGTCACTGTATCGCCCCTCATTCGAGCAGAGAAGGCCTCATAAAACACATCAGCTGCAGTCAGGGACGAGCACTCGTGCTTGTCACCGGCTGCGGCTGATCTCGTGCTTCACAATAATTGCCGAGCGCAGGCAACAAAAGGCAACAATTACCCTTGCAGCAAGCTGGAAGCCTCCTGGTTAACACTCACAGTATCGGTGCTCTCTCTCTCTCTCTCTCTCTCTCTCTCTCTCTCTCTCTCTCTCTCTCTCTCTCCCTCTCCCCCTCCCTTCTCTGAACCATTCACTTTCACATTTTGTAATTTTCATTTTGGGACTAGATAAATGGCTCTGACATCATTTGTGAGTAAATTACTGTCGATGGGTTCTGTCTCTGTACTTCTCTTTATTATCATTCGTGTTCATGTGAGGCATGGAGCAAAATCAATTGTGTAAATCAGGTTAGTTTGTGCGTTTGTTATTGCACGTTATTGTTATACGGGGAACATTTTCTCTGTCTGCATTAACTCTTTATGCTGTGTTTGTAAAAGTTTCATCCACTGAGGGACATTCTATACCAGGGGTGTCAAACTCAACCACTAATAGGGCCATATTAAAAAATCTCAACAAACTCATGGGCCAGACAATGTCTGTGGTTTTTTTTTTATTATTATTATTATTTATTTTTTTATTTTTAATTAATGTTGTGCTATAACCCAAAGTGGCCATTAAGACTTGGGCTCAATTTCTGAGCTGCTTAGCTAATGTTAGATATTTATGTTGGTTGAACTGCACTGAACTGCAGCTAGTGTGTTTGGTAATATGACTGGTGTAGAATTGTATAGAGTTGTGTAGAAATAAGGTTTAACCACTGTCCCATTGATTGTTGTTGGGGTAGGAGAGCCAAAGCACACATTATGATGCAGCTGGGGATTGTAGTGCAGCACATTGTGAAGTGGACAGAAAATACTTTTGTGGGCTGGATAGGATTGTGTCATGGGCCTGATCTGGTTCACGGGCCTTGTGTTTGACACATCGTTTCTATGTAGTATTCCACTGACTGTCAAATTTTTGGAGACACTTTTCAAAATATGTTTAATACAAATTAGAATTTTTTTTGCAATACTGTCATATGTTAAAGACTTACATAATGAAGTAAGTTTTTTATTGAGAATAATACCAGAGCTCATCAGCACTAAAACCTTTCAGATGTTAAACCATGTCTGAGGCATGTGTGCCTTCAGCAATAATTAAACATTTATAAAATTATTAAATCATTATTTAGGCAAAAGTTCATTTTCATACCAAGGGAAACACATTGATTTATGTGAAGCTGAGGGCTGCTTACACAAAGTGCTAGTAAATAGCTGTCTTATGCTTACCAGAAAATATGATAAAGCTGCATACTTTGTTGACCTAGTTTTAAGTATGAAATCTGTAATGTTTATGTGGTACTAGCATTGTATTCATGCTGTAGTCTCTCGATGTTGGTTGCCCCAAAGTTATCAAATTTGCACCCCTGTTAACAGCCAAAAGAGGTACACTTATTCATCCTGACCAAAGCCCTTTGGTCCAGCAGATCCACCGTAACTCTTAACCCTGTTGTTTCTTTCTCACAGCTTCAGGTGTCCACTACTGACATGAGCGGCAAACTGGTAGAGGGACCAGTGGACCTGGACGTGTACGTTATTGACCAGAATGACAACAGACCCATCTTCAGGGAGTCCCGCTATTCTGGAGAGGTCCTAGAGGGTTCTCCTACAGGTACAGACTAACCCAGTCCTCTCACCTTCTTCTCTCTCCCTCTCTCTCTCTCTCTCTACCTCTCTCTCCCTCTCTCTCTCCCTCTCTCTCTCTCTCTCTCTCTCCCTCCGATGACAGATGCTGTTAACTGCGTGTGAGCGGTTCAGTGAGAGGTTGATAATGATGATCTTTCAGCCCGATGAAGCTTAATACTTTTGTAGTGAAATGGAAGAGTCCTGGGACGGATCGCTTGCGATGGAAATTAGGCCATGTAGCCTGACAGTCACTGCAGTGACTGAGATGATTCACTTCAATTTAAAGCAACAGAACTGCCTGTTCTGCCTGAAAAATACGAGAGCCGTGCTGATTTCATTATCTTTCATTATCATATGAAGGTAACGTGATGTCTTACTGAGGTGACAGTGTTTGTGGTTACAGTATCCTTGGACCTAGCACAGCGGATTGTATAGAGAGGTGAAGAATAATAGATTATTCACAGCAGGGATGCCAAACAGACCCTGAAGATCTCCTCCCCCTGTAGTCCTAATGTAACACATCTCAAAGAGATAAGGCACATGTGAACGTAAGAGGTAGGTGGGTTAATTTAGGGTTGGAACTAAACTTTGCAGAGGGGCAGATCTCCAGAAGTAGGGTTGGCCACTGTGTATGTACAGCTAATTTCATATTTACAAATGAATGATCTTCAGTTAATGTTGAGGTAAAGTTTGCATTCGAGTGTTTTTGTTGGTGTATGTGTAGCGATTCATACCACACTTTACAGGGATCTTTTAGCTGATATCATAACTCAGACTGCGTCTTCTTTGCTGAGGAAACTGCTTTGTAGGTCTTGTGATGTTGCTCTTAATCTCATAGGCAGTGAAGCATTTACAGACAGGGTGAGAGCACCCTTCGTTTTCCTCCTGGCCTGCAGAAATGGAAAATGTTCAGATGCCATATAACCTACAGAACCCTCAGACACCTGCAATGCACATTACCTCAACCCTCTCCATCACCTTCTTCTCCACCACTATGCCTCTCTTCCTTTCTCTCTTCATATGCTGGATTCTCTGTCTGGTGGTCATTGCAACAGAGGCCTGTAAATGTATGTTCAGAACTCATAAAACACACAGATACAAGTTTATTTTATACAGTGTCAGGCCTTATACCTAATAAATAGCCCTGGTCAACTTTCATGTTTTTTTGATTTACTAGCTGGAAAAAAGTCTCTCCTCTACAGGGAATGAACCTAAATATGTACTTATTTTCACTCAACAAGACATGTCATTTGACCAGGGGTGTCCAAACTTTTGTGTACGACTGAATGGAAATACCTACAACTTTATTAGGTACACCTACCTTGTATCTGTACTCATTATCCATTTTACTAGGTCCACTTACCATATCGGTGCACTGTGTAGTACTGATTGTAGCCCAGAACATCAATTTCTCTGCATAATTTGTCTTCCATTACCCCCACAGAGGGTAGAGCAGGAGTTATTTGGGTGGTGGATCATTCTCAGCACTGCAGTGACACTGATGTGGTGGTGGCATGTTAGTGTATGTTGTGTTGGTACAAGTGTGTCAGCAGTGACACAGTAGTGTTGCTTTTAAATTTTAAACCCTGTGTCCACTAACTGTCCACTCTTTAAGACACTTCTACCCTCTTATTTCACCTTATAAATGTCAAGTAACAGACAGACTGCTGCACAGTCTGAGTTAATCATCCTCAAGTCCTTCAACAGTGGTCAGTTTTTGGTCACAGGTGCTGTTGGTTGGTGGACTATTCTCAATACAGTGACAGTATATTGTTTAAAAGCTCCAGAAACACAGCTGTGTCTGATCCACTTTGTGGAGCACGCACAGTAACATGCACTACTATGTCAGTGTCTCTGCAGTGCTAAGAATGATCTATAACACAAATAATACCTCCTCTGTGGTCCTGTGGGGTTCCTGACCACTGATGAATAGGGTAAAGAAGACTAACAAATTATGCAGAGAAAGAGATGGACTACAGTCTGTTATTGTAGAAATACACCAATACGGTCTGTGGATCTGATGAAATGGAAAATAATTTGGACACGAGGTAAGTGCACCTAATAAAGTGGCCACTGAATGTATACTTAAGAATTTTCTGAACCCTGAACTTAGCCTCAGTAAACAAAAAGAAATGTGTTTGCCCTTTCAGGTTTGAAAAACGATCATGTCTGCAGCTTTTATGAAAAGCACTTTACAAAGTCACGACCATTTCATTGTTCCTGACATTGTAGGCCGGTTTTTTTTTTCTGATTTGTCTTTAAATCAGGACACAAATTCACAGCACAAACCCAAAAACATTCATACACAAACTTTTTCTCGTCTCCATCTGAGCCATCGCTGCTTTGACCAGTGTTTTGCATGTAATGCGATTGCACTGTCTGTGAACAAATAGTGCATGCAGGGAGGGGAGTTGCATAATGAGACGGAGATCGCATCATCATGTGCCTGTCTCGGTGTGGAGGCAGCCTATGCTCATATCATTAGAACATAAACAAACCCTCATCAGCCTGAAACACCCACAGAAGAGGAGCCTAATGGCAGAGAACAAGAGCAGTGTTATTGGACACATCCAGAGTAGTTCCTTCTAGGCCCAGAGTTTTTTTTCCTTCAGTTGTATAGATTGTTTGTGTGTGGAAGTGATACATTTAGCCCAATGAAACGGCACTGCCTGTGCAGCCGTGAAAGGCGAAATAAGATGAGAGCTGCAACAGCAGGAGGCCTCCATGCTGCTTGCGGAGCTTTCACTAACTTGGTTAAGCAAAGTGGGTTTATCTAATAGCCAGAGGAGGAAATGAAATTTGGCTGAAGGACTTAATAAAGTTAAAAGTAAATCCCCCCTCTGTGAGCGGGGCTGGAATCAGAGAGGTGCTAAACACCCACAGGCCACTTCACTGTTCTGCAGGCCTCAGCCAAACGCTGCAACGCTCCCCTCAAGGGATGTATGTGTGAGAGAGAGTGTTTATTTTATTTATTCATTTTGTGTGAGGCAGCATATTTGTTTGTCTGTTACATCTTAGCTATGTGTTAAATTGAGAGCTTCCATAATGTTCCAGCCAGTACGAGCAGTAATAGTACAGTGTACTGTACTGTTATACCTCTGATGAAAACTGAAGAGTGGAACATTCAACGCTGAAGGCAGCTGTTATTTTTTCTAAATGGCCAAATCACCAATAGAAACCAACACATAATAAGCAGCAAAAGGTTTAGTGTGTATTCTAATGGATAGTTTCAATTCTAAAATCTGATTGGTCAAGCTGTATCCGAAATGTCTTATCCAAAGGGAATGTAGCTGTAGGAGTCTTGCTCAAGGACTCTTATTGGTCTAGCATAGTGTGCTTGCCTGAGTAGGGAATCGAACCCTGGGTGAAAAATACACTGTAGTTTGTTTTATTGTATTGTACTTTGTTGCTGGTTTGTAAGATCAAGAAGCCATTCAAGGCTATGCATTACAGTGATTTTACTGCCATTATGGGAGCTTTACTCTGCTTTGCATTGTGCCAAACACTCCTAAACTGTAACACCTATAACTCTCAACATCAAGTGGCTTATTGCCTTATTCACCGTAATGCAATAACATTATGTAAAGAGTGGCAATTTGAGGGGACGTGTAGTGTCGCTCTAGTGGTTGGTTCAGGCAACCTGGTAGCTGCAGTGTAGCTTTGCCGAAGCGGTCGGCCCAAGAAGCGTCTGAGTCATAGGGAAAAGTTGCTCTGGGTTGCTATCTCAGTGGCAAAATCACGAAACATGCACAAATTAACCAACGAAAACCAATGTAAACGGCAGCCATATTGCATCAGCTTTCCTACAATAGACCACACATGTATGACACATGCAAGTGCCAGGTAGAGCAGTTAATCCAAACTCCAGTCACTGCTGCATGTGATAATCCGGTACCCCTTGTAAATAGTGACATTTTGCAAGGAACGCAAGGAAATTTCGGTAAGAAATATATTCAGTGCTGCTTTATCATCAGCTGTGTCACTTCTGCTTTCTAATAGAGCCGCTTTCTTCAACATGAGTTTCTCACCAGAGCATGACAGCAGTCTCTCTCTCTTTCTCTCTCTCTCTCTCTCTCAGTGCTTCTGTGACAATCTCAGCCCTTTACAGGTGTGCAGTAGAGATGTATTATACATTCTGTATCTGTGTGTGCGTGTGTGTGGTGTATTGTGCGTGCAGGTGTGCACAGTGGGCGCGTGTGTACCGCATGGCCCTCGTCTTTCTCGCAGCCTTTTTTTCATTGCAGATGTGCTCAGTGGGTCTCTTCCTGCATTCAAAGCCGTGCCATGCGGGGAGCGGAGGGAAGATGAATCCGCTGTGCTTTGCTGCTCCTTTTCAAAGGTCCCATTGAGAATGCATGTGTGTCTGTGTGCCACCCCCCTAGAGTGTGTGTGGCGGCAGGTGGGGGGTGTCCCTCTCTGAAAAATGGGATTTGAAAAGCTGTTTAAAGTTGCCTACATTAATCAGTTTGGGCCCTCTACTATGGACACAATCAGCATGACCAATAAAATAGCTTATACATTACAGGCCACTACACTGAATCTGCTCACAGCAACCTGGCCTGACAAAGAGCATGTACAGAATGATAATCACTTATGCACACTCATGTGAGTTTGCAGCCAGCAGGTAGTTTTACCTCAGACTTTCTGGACTTCTAACTCAACAAAGCCACAGTACGCTAATGGTACTAACTTTGCAAGAAAGCAGTAGTCTCCCTCCTAATCTTTATGGCAGTGCAGTTAATTGTAAAACACAGAGGCACTGAGACATTGTTTTAGCTGCTAGATTGTTCATTTGTGCCATTCATTTGGGCCCTCATATGTACATTTTGTACCTCTGGGTACTTTTAGAAGAACAAAGCTTATTATGTTCCAAATCATTAAAACTAAAGCAGCCATTGAATAAAGGATACACATAATTTTAGGTTTGATACGATTTCCAATTCTGATTATATACTACAAAGACTTGGCTCAGGAAATTCTAACTTT